TGGTGGTGGTCTTGTCAGAATGTGTTATATTATGCAGATGAAAATCTATTTAAACAGATTTGATGTAGATATTTTCAAAGATGGAAGAATTGTCCCTGTCAACTATTTTAGTTGATTCATATCTTCAGTAATTGTCATCATTGCAAAGTTTTCAGTCCCCATATGGATTGCTGGATATAAAATGTCATGCCCTGTCTTTGTCCCCTCCCTTTGTAGCCTTTGTTACCTTAAGGACTCTAGTTTTCCATTTATATATTTAAGTACCAACCTTACCAGCTTAAAAATGTAAGCTTTTAACACTGCTCTCTCTGTTCCGTATCCTTCTGATGAAAAGTGGAGTTGGGTTGCGGCAGAGGAAAGAAATCCAGAAGGGGAATATTGGAGTAATGACTGCAGTGGGAGAAGAGGGAACCTATCTCCCGGGCCACAGGTGTTGGCGCCCTGGACCACAGGGCTGGCACCTTCTCTGGGTAGCTGCAGCCTGGGACCTCGGGGTGGGTGGCTTGCCTGTCTCCTGGGCCGCAGCCAGCCGCAGGCGCTGGTGCCTGGACTGCAGGTGGGCGGCTTCTCCGTGTCCCCTTGGGATGCATTGTGGGCGGCTTCTCCAGCTGGCTGCGGCCTGGGATTATGGGGCAGGCGGCTTCTTCGTCTCCCAGGCCGCAGCCAGCCTCAGGCGCTGGGCCCAGGTTCTCTGTCTCCCCTGGGATGCAGTGTGGTGTGGGCAGCTTCTCTGGCTGGCTGCGGCCTGAGATCACAGGCAGGTGGCTTCTCCGGCTGGCTGCGGCCTGGGATTATGGGGTAGGTGGCTTCTTTATCTCCCGGGCCGAAGCCAGCCTCAGGCGCTGGAGCCAGACTTCTCTGTCTCCCCTGACTTCTGCGTCTCCAACAGGCCTGGAGCAGCCAGAGCCAGGATACTTGCATGGTAGCCGTGGCTGCAATGCAAGTATCCCGGCTCTGGCCTCCGCCATCTTTGTTGGATTAATTTGCATATCACTCCTGATTGGCTGGTGGGCATGGCTTATGGGCATCTCAAAGGGATGGTTAATTTGCATGTTTCTCTTTTATTAGTGTCGATGTAATGTCAATTAAAGTGTATTAATAATTGTGTGCTGAAACTGTATTAGTTTGCTAGGGCTGTCATAACAAAATACCACAGACTAGGTAGCTTAAATGACAGTAATTTATTTTTTTCACAGTTCTGGTGGCTGAAAGTTCAAGATCAAAGTATTGGCAGGTTTGGATTCTCCTGGGACTTCATATTAGAGGATGATGTTATAAAAATAGATTACTAACCATGAATGATTTATAATAGGAAAGATGTCTGTCTGTTTATATGTAGGTAATGGAATACTCAATAATTATTATTATACTAATAAAACTTGCCAACACCTAATGGCTGCTTCCATATGTTAAACTTATTTATCTCTCACACTAATCCCATGAGGAAATTGAGGTACTTGCCTAGAGTCAATCAGCTACAATCATAAATCAAGCACAAAAATGGTCATAACTGATTTCCATAGTTAAAAATATATAAGTCATTTCTCTACCCTTATCTGACTTCATTTGCTACTTCTTGAAATACTTCTCTTTTAAAAAAAAAAAATTTATTGATTTTTTACAGAGAGGAAGGGAGAAGGGATAGAGAGCTAGAAACATCAATGAGAGAGAAACATCAATCAGCTGCCTACTGCACACTCCCCACTGGGGATGTGCCCGCAACCAAGGTACATGCCCTTGACCGCAATCGAACCTGGGACCCTTGAGTCCATAGGCTGACGCTCTATCCACTGAGCCAAACCGGTAGGGCTGAGATACTTCTCTTTTGTGACTCTTCATTTGTCTGGTGGTTTTCCTTTGCTTAGAAATGTCATCTACCAGTAAGCAGGCTGTTTATCCTCTTCTTCAGTTTTTTCATTTGAAAATGGTGATAGTAGTGCTTACCTTCCAAAGTTGTTCTGAGATTTAATGACTTTAATGAATACTTTGGCACAGAAGTATTCTAAGGGTTAACCATTACTACTACTACTACCACCACCACTGTTACTACAAGTGCTTTTAAGTCATTAGCTGCACTGTTTTTTACTCCCCTTTCTTTCTCACCTGGACCACTACACATTGGTAACGCATAGGGCTTGGTCATAGTTCTTTTTCTCTATCTGCAGTCTCTTCATATGTGAGTTCATCTAGTCTGGTTGCTTAAAATGCCAACCATATGTGGATGATTACCAGATGTGCATTATCTCTAGTCTTTTCCTCATTTGTTTTTCAGTCTGTATACATCCAATTATTTACATGATACTTCCATTTGCATATTCTATAGGAATTTTAGACTTAATATGACTAAAGGCATTTGAAGTCTTATTCCTCTTTCCCATATTAGTAAATAGAACCAGTATTTACCCAGTTGCTTTCAAATAAACCTACGTGTTGTGTTTTTTCCCACATCTAATTCAAATTGGCTCTATGGAATAAATTTACTCTAGTATTTCAGTGAGTTCAGAATACACATCCAATCTGTCCACTTTCAGTCTCCACTGCTACTGCTCTGTCAAACAACCATTGTCTTTGCTGTACTACTACAGGCACCTCCTAATTGATCTTCTTGCTTCTACTCCTCCCTTCCTCCCTCCATCCCTCCCTCTAATCCATTCTCTTTCAATCAACTGGAGTAATCTTTTAAAAATATAAATTAGGTTATATTATAATATAACCTATATATTATGATATAATATAACCTATATAATAATATAACCCAGTATTATTCCCAGTATCAAAACAAAATACCCAGAGGCTTTCTATTACATTTTACAAGGTACTACACAGTCCAAACCTTTCCTACTTCTCATCTTTTTCCATATTCTTCTTTGAAAACCTTGCTTCAGACACACTAACCTCTTTTCTCTTTCTCAACATGCTAAATTCGTTTCTGATTTTGATATTTTGTACTACCTATTCTTCTTACCTTGAAGTATATCACCCATATATTAGTAGTTTGCTACTTTGTGTCCTTTAGGTTTCTGACCGTCTCCCAGAGGCCTCACTGACTGTGGCGATAACTAAAATAAGCACACCTCAGTCCTCTGTTATAATCATAGACAAGCTACTGCCCACAGGCCAAATCCGGCAGGTAACTTGTTTTGTAGTGTCTGAGAGCTAAAAATGGTTTTTAGATTTTTTTAAACATTTGAAAAGAGTGAATATGTGACTTAGGTTTTATGTGACCCACAAAGCCTAAAATATTTACTGTCTGACCCTTTACAGAAAGAGAACTTACGGATATTCAGAATTACTTTGTGCATTTGTATCCTTGGTATTTTTTTTTGTTCTCAGAATGCTTAATTGTTGAAGAGTTTTGACATGTTGGTTAAGATCTCTGCAATAAAGAAATTGAGCAACTATCTATATCTATCTATCTATCTATCTATCTATCTAAAGGCTAAGTGTCTCTCCTCCCCTCCAACCGGTAGCTATGATGTGCACTGATGACCCGGGGGCAGATGCAGGAGCTGCCATGATGCACATTGGCCATTTAAAAATAAATGGCACCACAGACCTGGCACCGACAAACCAACACTCGGCTTTCCCTAAGTGGGACAAAGGCCCCACTAGCACCCCGGAGTGACACCCCACCAAATTGCAGCCAACGCTGTCCCATTTTGCTGTGGGACAAAATGTAGCCCACAGCCCAGCCCAGCCCGGAAATGGTGGCTGTGGGCGCCGGGTAATGATGTCACATAGCAACGCCCAGCTTCCTCTCCCTAGTGACTAGCTTCCTTGGAGTTTCTTCAGCCCATGAACCCGACTTGCTTTATAGCCAGGTACAAACATTTTATAGTTTAACCAAGTGTTTGGGAAGCATTTTCCCGTGCCTCATCTCATTTGATCCTCATAGAAATCCTGGAGTAGGTAGATAGGAGACTCATTAGAATCCTACTTTCATTTCATTAGCCAGAAAACAGAGATTTAGAAAGTTTAGAAACTTGACCCAACTGAAAAGCAGTAAGAAATAGTGGACCTTGAAAATGACTTCAGGTTTTCTTACTGTGCAGAATATAGTCAAACACTTTTCTGCATGATCTATAATAATAATCTGCTTTGTGTTGATATTTACTGCTGTGTTGCTGACAATTACCTGAAAGAGAAGTTGGGGTGCTTCACTGGGCTGGAAAAAGTTTAAGTCAGAAAGCAGGTCTAATTAATAAGTTTATCTATATATATAAAACGCTAAGTTGACTCACGAATGCATGATACATACAAAGCTCTCACTGACGCCAATCGCACGCGTGTGTTTCGATCTGTCATTGTCAATCGTGAATTTGGTTGACACTTCTATTATAGAGAAAGGGCGAATAGCGATATTGAAATATTTCTTCTAATTAATTTCCTTTCAGTGTGCATGAATCTATGCACTGGGACACCAGTAGTTAATAAAGGGACTATTAGAATCATTGTTCAAAGAGTAGAAAGGCAGAACAGATAAAAATGTTGTAGGTACAAAGACTGAAGAGTCTGTGGGACTTCTTCCAAAGTAGACAAGAAAAGGTGGTTTGTTCAAAGGATCTACTGCTCATATGACTCTGAAAGCCCCTTCAAAATCATTCATATGGAGGATTGAAATCTGAGTTTAAAGTATATCTGTGAAACTATTCAGATAATTAAGAGTATGTACATCTGAAAAGTGACTAAGTACCTGAAACCTGTCATATTATGGAGGCATGTGTTCCCTAGGCAAAGTAGTAGAGTGAAAGATATTCCTTGGCCATGCTTCTAAATAAGTGCTGAGCTATTGTTACACAAGCTTAAGAATATGGAAAGTGATGCTGAGTCTCACAGCATTTTGATGTGCACTTTATAGCCATACAGTGTCTATTTCATTTCCAAGACACCCAAAATATGAAAACATTTGTGAAGTTCATAAATAGATCAACTCATAGATGAACTCCCCTAGTTTCTTATTCTTATTGAAAATCAAAGGAAGAGAGGTGCTCAATGAAGGGTATCTTGAACAAAACTAAAGGAATACAAATTTATAAATATGTAAATTAAGAAAAAGAAGAAGTCTCTTTTGTTTTACTTTGCTCCCATATTTACTGCTGGTTATAGCATATGTCTCTACTGCCTATTACTTTACTTTCCTACTTCACCAACCTAATAGGTGGTTCACCACAAGTTATATAATTGCTTATGAGTCTCTTTTATATTATTGACTAGAGGCCCGGTGCACAAAAATTTGTGCACTGGGGGGGGCGGGGAAG